CCTGTGCTGCCGTCCTCATGAAAGCGTCGAGTTCCCAATAAAATGATTAACAAAAAAAAAAAGAAAGCGTATTGATGCGTCTTTTCCCCTCAGAGCAGCTGAGGGGATCGAAATTCTGACCTTTCAATTACCTGCATCATGCATAACCCACTCCACCATCAGGACTCCTTGCTTAGGACCCAAAGCCTGGGGAAATATCTATCATCTGACTGATGCTGACTCATCAGGACCCTGTACGACAAGGTAGAACTGTCCCTATGAGTTTCAGAGACTGACTCTTTATGGATGTACAAAGCCCAGTCTTTGTCCTGTGGAGTGGCTGGTGGTTTCCAAGTGCTGACCTTGCAGTTAGCAACCCAACACGTTACCACTGCACCAGCTCCGATTGATGACTATTTGGAGCTTGGGTGGTACAAACAGTTACCTTGCTGGGCTGCTAACCCAAAGGTGGTAGGGTCGAAGCCACCCAGAGCTGCTTCATCAGAAAGGTCTACTAATCTGCTTCCAAAACAGCAACCATTAGAATCGACTTGCTGTTCACTTGGCAGTGAGTAATGCGATGCCGGCAGCACACAGGTGACCAAGACTGGAACCCGATCGCTGCTTGGTGGTTCCCATGCAAGGGCCAAGGGAACTGCTAGCAGCTGGTGGCTCTGGGTCTGGGGTAACTGAAGCCAGGAAGACACTGCAGTGGAGAGTGTGTGGGGTATGGGGCACATAGATTAGGGGACTGATGACAATAAAGGGGCAGTCATGCAATGTGGGAAATGTCTTCTCAGTGAATTGGCCAAACAAGACTGTAGCTTATAGATGGAGAAGCCCAGGCCTCCCCCCTCAGTTCGCCGGAGGCCCCTCTTAATGCAATGTATCCCAAACCAAGCTCACTGCCAGAGAGTGAGTTCCAAACCATGGTGACCCTGTGGGACAGAAACCCTGTGGGTTTCTGAGGCTATCAGAAAGCCTCCTCTTTCTCCTGCAGGATGGCTGGTGGTTTTGAACGGTTGACCTGGTGGTTAGCAGCCCAACACTTAACTCGTTGTGCTACCAGGGCTCCCTGTCAGTGGAACGCAGCGGGCTGTGTTTTGTTTTTTATAGACCTCTTGTAGAAGTCTCCCCAGCTTTGGTTCATCGGATGTGGTCCAGTGAGAGTCCTGCGCTGCGCTCTGGGCCGTGGGTCCTGGAAGGGCGATGAACTTGCAGGTGCCTTTGTGCGGACGCCTCCTGTCACAGCTGCACTGGGCCTCACTCGGCGGGGAGGGATGAGTGTGACCAGTGAGGAAGCTGACATACCCGTCAGCACGGTGGTTTGAGCAAGGAGCCCTGGTGGCGTGGGTGCCCCCACCAGCAGCAGATGAGCCTTATCTGTCCTCACCCAGATCCACAGTGCATCTTAAGGCCGGTTCCCTCTGGGCTGAAATGGACTCCACGGCCCTGGGTTTCTTGGATGCTTTGGGCCCCTGTCGTTCCGCCCCACCTGTCTCGTGTGTGTTCTGATGCAGAACCGGCATCCACAAGCACTGCAGACTTGGACAGAGTAGGAAGAGAGACCAGTGACTGTGGAAACCGAGAGGCTCACAGGGGTTTGAGCCTCAGCCCATCCCGGGGAGGGTGCAGGACCCGGCGGCACTTGGGCATAGGGCGAGTCTCCGAGCACCATCCGTCCCAGGGCCCCGCCTGGCTCTCTGCACCTGGGTCGGTTGCCTTGTAAACGGCTCTGCCCGATCCTGCAGTGCCGTTTCATGTTTAGATAGCATCGGGCTGTACAGTGCAGTCAATAAGTGTTTAGGATTTGGAAAAACCACATTCTTGGCTTATCCTTTCCCTAAGAGGGCCTCTAACCTTCATTTCCTTGTCATTTGAAACGGCTCCACCCTGAAAGCCGCTTTATGCAAACAGCAGCCTCTGGGTTCCCAGGCCCGGGCTAATCACTGTGTAGAGATGGGAGACCTGCCTGCCACACCAGGCCACAGTCTGTCCATGGAGCTTAGTCTGAGGGGGCTGGTGTGGGGAGCCAGGCCAGGGTCCCAGCATAGAAGCCCCTGCTGCTTTTGTGGGTGGCTTTATGTGCTCCAAACACGCTCGTCCCTGGTCTCCGTTCCTGTGTCTCTCCACTCCCTGCTGCATTTGGGCTTTCTTTTACAAGGTGGGCCACACACACTGTGCTGAGTTATTTGGTGACCTGTCTGCTTGTGGTGGAAATACGCGCCAGCCTCTCCACCTAACGTGGGCTTGACCACGTAGGCATGGCAACATGAGCGGCAGATGGATTTCGGAGTGGCCACATGGACTTCTGTTGTTTCTCTAAACATCAGGCTGGTTAAACTGGGGGCTCTGAAGCTTTGCAGGGAAAGGTCAGCCTGACCTGGCCCTCTGTCTGTGGTTAGATCCTCTCCCGGGGCCCGAGCAATGGGTGGCCAGAGGTTCTGAGCACTGAGCATGCGTTGATCCATAATCCTGATCTCAGCTCACCAGAAAGTCCCTTACCGTTGTACTGCTTGCTCACGTCGATAGGAAAGAGTGTCTTACAAGGAGTGCTGGTAGCGAAACATGTAAGCACCTGACTTTGAGCCAAATGGTTGGCAGTTCAAATCCATCCAGTGGCTTGCTCTGCGGGAGAAAAGATTACATACAGCCTCAGAGTGAAAGCCGTAAAGATGAAAACCTAGAAAAACCCAGTGAGACAGCTCTACTCTGTCCACAGGGTCACTACAAGGGACCTGAGAGCACCCAGCAACACGGGAGTGTTTTGGCGACTCCGTGACTAAGGTGGGGCCCTGGTGTCTCTGTCGGGTCAGTGTTGAACTGCTAACTGGAAGGTCAGTGGCTCAAACTCACCAGCTGCTGCGCAGGAGAAAGAGGATGCTATCTGTTCCCAGAAAGCCGTGCAACGGCCCCACACAGGGGCCCGATGAGTCAGCGTCAGCTCAATGGTTGTACTCAGCTGCTCGCAGAAGGTTGCGGTTCAAGTTCACCCAGGGACACATGGGAAGAAAGGCCTGGTGAGCTGATTCCTCCCCAAAGCAGACCCCGAACGTGCTAGGATGGACAGTTCTGGTCTTACACACACAGGGTCACCAGGCGTGGACAACAGCGTTCTTCTTCTGGTGAATAAAGTTGCCGTCACCTTAGAGCCATCAGTCATGAACTCATGACTGAAGGACAACATTGCTAAAGTTTCTTTCGAGATTCTTAAGAAGCCCTGGTGGCATCGTGTGTTCCACGTTGGGCTGCTAACCGCAAGGTCAGCAGTTTGAAACCACCAGCTGCTCTCTGGGAGAAAGATGCGGCTTTCCACTGCTGTGATGAGTTAGTCTTGGAAACCCACAGGGGCAGCTCTGCCTTGCCCTGTAGAGTGGCGATGCGTTGCAATTGCCTCGATGGCAGTGAGTTCTTTTGGTGTGATAGAAATTTTGGGGACTAGAGTATTTTTCTTAGATTCCCACTACCCAGTCATCATGCGCATTCTAAGTCCTGAGGGACATGGTCCATCTTTCTGTGGTCCGGTCGCACTGCCATTGAGTCAGTGCTGACGAACAGTGACCTCCCGTGGGTTTCCAAGACTGTAACTGTTTGCAGAAAGCCCCGTCTTTCTCCTGAGGAGCTGCTGCTGGTTTCAAACTGCCAACCACGGGGATCGCAGTGCAACGCATAACCACTACAGCACAAGGGCTCCTTCAATAGTTCTGGAACTACGGGACGATTGTTCTAGAACTACGGGGCGCTTATTCTGGAAATACGGGCGTCTGTTGGCTGAGAGCCAGGGTGTGCGTGGGTTTGTGTCATGTTGTCTTCTCTCCAGTTGGGTAAATATTTACAAGTGACCTTATCAAATAGCTGGGGGTCCGCTTGGCCACTTGAAAGCGTGGGGTCCAAGCAGCAACTGCCCTTGGCTGGCTGCCAGGCTCCATGGACTTCTGAGGGAACAGTTCACTTTTGTTTTATTAAAGCAACAAAACAAAAAAACTACACACAGACCAAAAGCCTCCAACCAAAAGTGGGCCTGGGAGTGAGTCTCAGTGGGATGGTTTTAGAAAACCGGCGTTTGTCAGATTGACTTCTGAAGATGGGACCCGGGGCTGGAGCAAATAGATTGCCGGAAGCTGAGAAATCCGAAAAATAAACATTGGCTCCTGGCTCAGGTTTACCAAGCTCCCGGGGATCTTCTGATTCTGGGGGGATGGGGAAGAGCAGTGGTGACAGAATCCCCTTCCAAGCTTCAGTGCTGTTCTCGTTTGAGGCAGTTTGAAACAACAAGCACACACAAAACACGGGGATGACTGTGTCCCCCTTCTTTATGTAAAGTGGGACCAAAGGCGACGTGGTTTCAAAACAGAAAGTACTCGCTGTGTAAAGCAGGTGTGTCCGGCTGGTGCCTCAGCCTTCCTTTCCGCTCAGCCTGGGCGCTCTGGCAGGCTCCCCTTTCTGCAGGAGAGGATGGAAGAATTCGGATCTTTGGGCGCACGGGTTACAAGCCCTGCTTGCTGCTCACGCAGAGGTGGGCTGTTTGAGCCCACCGGCTGCTCCGCTGGAGGAAGATGAAAAAATCCAGCCCATAGTGACCCTGTGCAGGGTCTTCACTTCCGCAGACAGCTTCATGTCCCTCCCATGCAGCAGCTGATGGGTTCCAGCCAGCCCCTAACCCACAAGGCCACCAAGGCCCTCTCCCGTAAGGATCACAAGCTCGCAAACGCGAATGGAGACCAGTTCTTCAGGGTTTGCTGTGTCAGAATCCACCTGATGCTACCCAGCCACGCGATGAACATGTTAATAGTATGAGAGGGCTGGTCAACCTGGTGAGCACACGCGTTCGCTTTTGCCTGTCCCACGTAACAAGAAGATGAAATTACATGGGAAGGTTTCCTGTTGTCGAATACAGTCCTCGAGGCTGGTGACTGCTCAGCCAGCCACCGAGAGCCTCTCCCAAGCGGCGGTAACTCGTCTGATAGCTGTATGTATGCAGGCCGCAAAATGCTTAATATCTGTCTGTCTTTTCTTTGCAGAGTATTGGGAAAGGGTCGTTATGGTGCATAGACCCAGAGTACAGACAAAATCTAATTCAGGCTTTGAAAAAGACACCTTACCACCCATACCCACATGTGTTCAACACACCTCCCACCTCTCCTCAGGCATATCAAAGGTAAGCAATTCAGACTCTGTGTGTGTGTGTGTGTCTACTGCAGTTGCATTATTCTGGCAGCTAAGGCTGCTGCTGAAGCCCGTTTTAACTGTCTGTATGGGGGGTTTAAAAATAACCGAAGATAAATGAGGAAGAAATTAGGCAGCATTAGGAGGCAACTCCCTTGTTCTGTTTCCCACGAGTCTTACCGATTCGGCTGCTCTGAAGGACTGCACTTCCAGGAGGGCTTCCTGGGCGGGCGAACAAACGAACATCTGGGGAGAAACTTTCCCAAGGAAAATGTCGACGGACCGGGCACGTCGGGGTGCCAGGTACCGTGGGGTTAGACGTCCAGGCGGGAGTAAGGCGAGCAAGTCTCTCTTCCAGCCCTCTGACCAGCAGGGTCTCCACAGGTGTCCCCCAGGGAGGGCTGGGCACCACTGTTGTCATTCCTGGTCTCCATGTGGACTGGGCTCTGGGGCAGCCTTCTGTTGTGGTTACCCCAGGCGTTGGCCTCTGCAAGGAGACGCAGTGGAGGACAATGGGGACGCCTGTTCCTCCGCCCGAGCCTGCTTGTTTGAAGACAGTGAGGTCACGGTGCTGGCTTTATAAAGATATAATTGGCGGGCAGACTAAGGAGTCGCTTACTGTTTTCAGAGGCGGGTGAATGACAGACCCCCACCCCTTCCAGAAACCCACATGACAGACAGCCAGCTTTGTAAATGGAGTGTTTTATGTCCGTGGTGCTGGGTTGGATATTCACATCTCTCCCAGCCCCACCTCTCCCAAACTCAGAGAACTCATCCTCGGGCCACCACTCTCTTGCCATCAGGAATAGCAGGCATTGGTCACTGCATCCCAGTGGTCTCTCAGGCTTTCTTTGTGCGTTCTTTGCCCAGCCTGTGTGTCCTGAGAGCAGTGGGACCCAGAGTGACCTTCTGAAAGAGGACAGGGGAAGTCCTTGTGCCTGGCGGGGAGAGGCATTCCATCAGCCTTCAGCGGGAGCCGGCAGGAACAGCTGGGCTCTCGGGGAAGACTGCTGTACATCTGCCTTTGCTAGGCGATTAGCGTGATGGTAGCCATAGCAACGGGAGTGTCTCCATAGTAACGCGTAGCCGAGACAGGTGCAGTGGCATCACAAGGCTGTTTGTTGCCTGGCAAAAGGACAGGCCATTAGTACTTAGATGTACGCTGTTGCCTTAGAAACAGATAACCCTACCTAGCAACGAGAGTTGGTTTGAAAGTTGTGCTTTTTCTTTCTTTTTTTTTTCTCTTTCAAATAAGGTTGTCATACCAGCCTTTGTCTGTGCTCATAAAAATCAGTGGACGCATACGCTACTGGAAATAACAACTTGAGGTCACATAGCTTTAGGAGATGGAGTGGGATTTTCCCAAAGCGGCAGAGAAGCGCCCAGAAGGAAGGGGCCATATGCTTGCTTTGCTCCCGGTGGCTGTAGCACTCCTGAAACGGAAGGGAACTAGGATTGGTGTGAAGAGTTGCCGGTACACAGGGCTGGCTGGGGAGGGCATGACACTAAATCCTAAAGTCTTTTCCCCACCCTCACGTCTTTCTACCCCGCCCCGCCCCCCGAGCCCCACAAAAATACCTTTCCCTTTCCCTCTCAGCTTGTCCCTCGGAATGTGTCCTGGACGATGTATTGATTTCCAGGAAGTTACCAGCCTGAGTCTTGTGTACGGGGGCATATCCTGAGTTTCTTTAGACCAGTATTTTCGTTCCCAGTTGTGACCCCCACAGGACACACTTAATAATTCGAAGGATGATAGCCAAGCCCCTGGGGTTGGCAAGAGGGACGTGAACTTGGGCGAGAAGCGGAATGACCTCATTTGGTTTGTAAGACAGGCATGAAAATCCAGACAAGCCCAGGCCTTCGTGATGAGAGTGGTGCCACCAGTAATACGGCAAATCCTGTTCTGTCCTCTCTTCTCAGGGTCGCAGCGGTCAGAGCTTGCTGGTCTGCGCTGGCAAGACCTCAGATTTTACCTTGGTCCAAAAGGTCACTGGTGGAGGAGGAGGGAGGAGTCAGATCCGACTCTGATACTGCCTGCCTCTTCTGTGTCTTCGCTCGGAGGCAAAGCGACTTTCGGGGGACCGAGGGTCCCGTCCTCTGAAAGCTGGGGATGTTTCAGTGTCTTGCAGTGTGTGACATGGCACTCCACAACCCAAAACCCAACTCACTGTCATCGAGTCTGACATGGCACTCCACAACCCAAAACCCAACTCACTGTCATCGAGT